ATTTTGGGGTAAAATTTCATACGCCCTTGCTTCATATTCATTCACAGTCACTAACGTCGACGACATATTCAACAATTTCACTTTTAAACCCAAAAAATTAACAATAATAAATCAACACATTTAACAATTTCATTAATAATAAATATAATATAATCTATAGGTAACACTTTCAATTACTAGTTTGCTTGTAATGATCGATTCCGCGTGTACGTTGCTTCTAAATGACCTTGTTTATATTTGATCTCATAATGTATGATTTGACACGAGTGATGTACTTATCATATTAACAACACTTTGTTCTCGTCATCGTGTTTAAATATCTGTAAATAAGATACAATTAAATTTTAATTTGATTGCAGTTTATGAATTTGATAGAAATTTAGAAATTTGGATGAATAATTCTATATAAATGACATAATTGTAGCAGTTTTCCAATAGAACCTAACGAAGAATTTGATTGGTAATAATAATGGTAAATAAATAATGAAGATAATGCAAAAGAGTTTTAGAAATGAATAATTTATTTGTTTGAAACATAAATGTTCGATTTTTTTATGCTTTATTTAAATTATATTATTATTGCAATGTTTGAATAGAGAAATACTTAAGCTCAAGTATGCTTGTTATGAAGAAAATTGAAATCTGATCCGAAGATAAAATTAATTAGCAAACCACATATAATGTAAAGGCAAGATGAGAAAATCTTCGTTAACTCATAGAATAAAAAAAAATTAAAGCAAAAGCAAAATGCATTATAAAATAATATAAAAAAATATATATTTCAAATTATAAACGACCAAATTAACACAATTATTATAAGAGTAAAAAGTTCATTGAACCAACCGTATCTTATTTTTACATGTATTAATTTAATATATTAATAGAAAAAAAAAAATAGTTATTAGTTGTATATGTATGTGAAGACTTTTTTTTGAACTTGAGTGTTCATTTTTTTTTCAAAATTTATTTAATCATGTACAATTATTTTGAGGTTTGGGTTATATGAGATTTTCCTCTTTCATCTTCAGGAAAAAGTATTTTGGTAAAAAAAAACGAGATCCTAAAGATCTCAAATTAAAATTATAAATATTATTAAATGTATTCAATAAAATGTTATTCATTTGAAAAGATTATCAAAAGATATTTTTACGTTTATAAATAATAATAACAATAACTCACCTGACTCCATATTTTCCAGTAATCGAACTTGCCTCTTTCACTTCAAAATATTTTATAGAGACAGTTTAATTTTCCATTGATGACAATTACGTTTCTAATATCAGTTTTTAGCCACACAATGGTTTGTTATCAAAATCTACATATTTATAAATTCTGCTCATTGTTCATGCAGTTAACAATATAATAAGATTACATAACATTTTTCAATCATTTAGTGCACGATACAACGATCATTGGACATGGAAATGTTATTTAATTGATCTGGCATAAAATTTTGAAGGACGCTAGTAAAAAATTGATACAAAAAACATTCGCAAAAAAAATAATTATATATATATATATATATATATATATATTCGTCGGCGAAATTCGTTTGCGAGGCCCCCCTTTTTTGCTAGTTGCAAGTTGCTAGTGGTAATGGCATCGTGCCTAAAGGCAAATTGCTGAACTTTTCGTGCCGTAATTTAAATTTTCGAAAGCTTTGAAAAAATTTGAAAAGTGAAGAAAATTGACTTTTTTTAATTTGAAATATTTTGTTGAAAATTTCGAACTTTTTTTCAAAGCAATCACGTTGCGTTAGCTGCTTAGAGACGAAATATCGAAGCGCGTAAACGCCGCGTTGCAGTCTAACTTAACTCACTATTAATTAAAATCTTATAAAATATCTGATAATTTGATGTGCATATGCCATTTTGTTGTGCTTTTCTACTGGATTTCCAAAACCGCTAGACCTACCTTCCTAAAAATGTAATCAGTTTGGCACTTTTGTCCCGTATCTTCACAACGGCTTATCCTGCCTTTGTTAAAACCTAATAAGCACGTCTTCTTACCTTCAATACATGTCAAATGTTTTCTGAATTTTTCAAATTGGTTGACCCATGTTCGCGAAATCGTCGACGAAAATTTGCCAAAATGTTCAGAAATTCTTTGAAGATATATAAAATTTTTTTTACATTTTTTTGGCGATTACTATAACTGTATATGAGATTTATTTTAATCAGATAAATACACCAATGAAATAGACAAAAATTACACAAGTTAAAACAAACTCTTCGGCAAAAATGGTTTGTTCTCCAGCTGTTAGAAAAGCACTAAATTAATAATTATCGCGAAAAAGTTTCCTTTTGCCCAACCTTTGATTCGCAAATTTTATGTTTTTTCGATCATTATGAATAAAAAATGGTTGGAAATCACCGACTTAATAACTAATTAGATAAAATATTGCAATCTGCAAGTGATTAATTAGATTTAAAAAATCTATGTTCATACTAATTTGAGTGCACAAATCCGAACATCACATAGTAGGTAGACATGGTCTAAAAGCTCGTCCCATTATTCTAAAATTTAATGACTTTTTATAATTAATCATTTATCGTAGTTCCATAAATTTATGTTAGATGATACTAACACGTTTTTTTTTGAAAAAATATTTTTACAATATATTACGAAGAACTGTGGCGGTCGATCTTGACGAAAAACAATTCAGCACGATCGCCAACTGAAAACTTTCGATCAGTTTTTGAATTTTTAAAATTGGTTCAAAAATGTCAAATGTCGTTTTTTAAGACGCTTTATTTTTTGTCGACGACATCAGAGCGGATCAACCGATTTAAGGATTTAAAAAAAATTCAATTCGTTGTTGATAATTGTCAAAGGCAGATTTAGCGGTTTCGAGATACAAAAAAAGTTTAAAAGGTTATCAATTTTTTTGAAAGAACTGATCATCCCGATAGAATGTTTAAAAAATATATTGCTTGTGTTGACGGTGTGAAACATGATTAGTTTCAGATTAACAGTTTTTGTTATTATCTCATTGTTATTTCTCATGATCAATTTTTATTGATCATGATTACTTTTATTTCCTCGAATATTTAATTACTGTTTCGATACGTTAAGATTCCCACTCGTATGTATTTCCAAAAAGAACGATGATTTACATAGTGCTCACATAAGAAATACACAAATATAAACAACCAGAGAATTAGCTTGCGCGAAGTTGTTTAGATTTAATAATCTATAGTGTTGACAGACGATGTTAGATAATGTCCATAAAAGATAAGAGTAAAATGATAGTGCCTGTAAACCACTAATCACCTTCTTTACTCGCACATCCGTATGAAAATTAACTAAATTTTTAAATAATTAAAATTTTTCCGGGGCCTCTTGCGAGGCCCCCCTAGGCGCGAGGCCGTCGGCGGCGCCGCCGACAACCGCCGACGCCTAGCGCCGCTACTGTATATATATATATATGATAAAACTCAGTACTAAACCTTATATTGAAAATTGATGTAGAGTACTGAACTATTTTTAATCTTTATGGTTATTTAAAAACCCGTAACGATTTGCATAAAAATCCAAACAAATTGATATAATATTTCGTTAACTCGTTTATTCAAACTGTAACCTCTAAGTAAGCCTTATTACGTTTTTAAATTTCTATATCGATTAATCATTCACAATTATCATTCACAATTTCTAGAGTAATTAT